TAACGTTAAAAAAATTTTCCGTTTGACAAATCATATTTAAAAAGTTATCAAAATTTTTCTTTAAACTTCTGATATTAATGTGGATTATATTAAAATAATCACGATTATCATTATTTTTAAATATGCTTTTAATTTTATCTGGATAAAAGTAAGAGCATTCGAATTTTGATCCATTAATCTCATTAAAATAATTAATATCTGGATCAGATTCATTGTCTAAATTAAAAGTATTTGTTTGAAATAAATTTGATATTTTTTCAAAATCATTCCGATAAGTTGAATCCATTTTGTATGTTTTTGTTATTTTGAAAATATTTGAAGGTTTTTATATACACTGGTATATATGTACGCACACGTGTGAACATATTACATATATATATATATATATATATATATATATATATATATATATATATATATATATATATATATATATATATATATATATATATATATATATATATATATATATATATATATATATATATATATATATATATATATATATATATATATATATATATATACAGGCCCACCGCGTCCCTTTATGACGCCTGGGGTCAAAATTTATCTAGCGCCCTGTCATATTGACCTAATCAAAAAAAATTTAGATACTGTCCAAATGCTAAGTTTTTTGTTAAGTTTTACTTTTTAAAACTCACTTTAAGAGGCCGAGAAGGTAATTACAGTCGAGAAGGTTTCTATATATTTTTTAAATAAGTTTGAAAAAAGGTAAAGAAAGAAGCACAAGTTGACAAATTAACTTTATTATATTGCGAGCAACTGTAAATTTTAAATGTAATAGATATTTTAAATGCTTTATAAGAATTTGACTCTCCGTGCTTTATTTAAAGCAAAATTTTCAATGACCTCGTCGTAGCACAGACTTTTTGCTAGATCGTGCTCAATAGATATAACTAAGAGATTGGTAAGCCGGTCTTGACTCATTGTAGATCTTAGTGTTGTCTTGACTAGACCAAGCTTGCTGAAAGACCGCTCTCCTTCGGCGATGGAAACGGGAATTGTGTTAAAAATACGTAATAAAATGCATGTTGATTCGAAGATAGACTCTAGACCTTTTTGATAAATTCCATTTAATAGTTTCATTGAAGTGAGATATTCTTTTGGACCGAAAAGATTGGCACGCTTTAGAGTATCCAGATGACGGACCTCTAAAATAAGTTTGTCTTCATCTACATCGTTCACATACATTTGCGCCAAAGTTTTACATTTTTCCTCCAGGCTAGGTTGTTCAATTTCTTTTTCCTCACTCGACCTACTATTAGATTCTGAGAGCCATAGAAAAGAAAAACTGTTAGTTGTCTTTTCTGCAGCTTGAAATCTGTCTTTTATTTGTTGAATTAATGTATCGAGAGCGGTGTTGAATACATTCACCTCAAACTGTTTTTCATCGTTTTCTAAGAAATGAACTTCGTTCCTTGTTTCTTCGTAAAAAGTTTTCCTCTTTCTTGTCCTTTTTTGAACTAGTTTTGACTGAAACCCATAACTAGCTAGACCGGAGGCAACTAAATGTGCTTCATTAATTAATTCGGGCCAAGAAGATCTAAGTCTAGTAAGATCCTCAATAAGAATCTTCATAAGTTTCATCTCATCATCTAAAGTAATGTTTTCTGATTGAAATGACACGCTGACATAGTTTATTGCTTGCAGCGCTTTGAACCAGAAGGTTGTCATGATAATAAACTCAAATGACTGAATCCATTTCTCTAAAGATTTTACGTCAATCAATAGATCAGCAGTTAAATCAAGATCACGAAGTTTCTGCAAAGATAAAAGAATTTCTCTGGGTCGCTTAACCAAAGGCTTCACAGCCTCAATGCGTGCACTCCATCGGGTTTGTGAAGTTTGATGTAGAGACAAACCAGTCGTCTCGGTCAAGATTTTCCATCGTATAGGGCTTCCACTAAAAAGATTGTAGAGTAACTGAATACGACCGAAATAGTTCTTCATTTCTACAGAAGATTCAAGTGAATGAACACCAGCTAAATTAAGGTTATGAGTGCTGCATGGCATGTAGAAAGCTTGAGGATTTCTCTGAAGAATGATCGCTTGGACTCCTTTGTACACACCAGACATATTAGCACCGTTGTCATATCCCTGACCTCGACAGTTCTTCAGATCAATGTCATTTTGATTTAAGACATCTATAATTAGCTTAGCAATATCCACACCTTTCTTTTTATCGACACTTTCGACCCCAAGAAAGCGCTCCTTAACTACCCATTTTTTATCAATACCATAGTAGACAAAGCGGAGAACAAATGCAATTTGCTCTGTATGAGAGACGTCAGGCGTTCCGTCGACAAGAATAGAATAGTAAATTGCCATTTGCGCCTCTTTAATGATGGCACCGTAGACGATTCTTCCGCACTCTTTTATGAATTCATTTTGAGAACTCCAACCCAAATAATGCGCAATAATTTGTTTACCTTCTTGTTGGCAGCGAGAAACCTCTTCTAGATGTAACTGAAGAGTCTTGTTGTGCTTTGCAAGTAGCTCTAGAGTTGCAAGAAAGTTGCCGTTATCGTCATCACCGATCATTTTTGATGAGCCTAAAATATTGATTTTAATTAAATCACATATAAATCATGACTTTCTGTTTAATTATAGTAAAAATAAATTATAACGTAAACATAAATACAATAATTAATGTTCACAAATATACCTCTGAAGCTAAGGTTGCGTGATGCTAAGAAGAGAATTACATCTAAAATGCACTTTAAAATTTCACGCCACCTGGCTGCCTCATTTCTTATCAATTTTTCTAAACTTGAATCAATCCCACATTGATTTCCCAAGTTTTCCAGCGCTGTTTTCCACTTAATGTAATTGTCTCGATGGTGAGGATTGTTTTGGTGGGCTTTTACTTTTTCAGCTAGCTTTCTCCAGTTTCCATTGATGCCACCATTCCAACGTAGAAGATGTGAATTATTACCAGCCCCGCAGGCTTGTTTGCTTCCGAAAAGTGAGCACGGAAAGCAAAGAATTGATTTTGAAGTTGAACTCCAAACAAGCCAATCTCTGTTTATTTTCTCCCCATTACGAGTTATTTCGTGGAAAACTGATTCAGGAACCTTAATCTTGTTTGAGTCTCTCGGAAAAGATAAAGGATTTTTAGGGGGCCCCTGAAGAACAACTGCATCGCGTTCTACTTTGGACATATTTTCAGCCCACAAAGCAGGATCCTTTGCAGTAATTGCCTCATCCAATTTATCTTTATGCTAATAATTTAAATAAAGATTTTAATAAGTATATAATTTTCACAAATTCACAAAAATAATTAAAGAATCTTTGCGAAGCAAATTTTACCAAAATATTGTTTTCATTTTCAACTCTTGTTGCCGATATTGCCAACGTGCCACTCGAAGGAGGAAGTGGTTCTTCTGATTTCAACAAAATTTTACAAGAATCGTTTTCAAAGCTATCCTATAGAAAATAAAGTAAAATATTCAAAAATATCTTGATTTATATAATAATAGTATAATAGAAAAGATATATAAAAAAGAAGGTTATGTTTAGATAAATGAACTTACTATTCCAAAAGCTTGACGTGATTGAGAGGAATTTATAGATATCAATCTGGAAACTGTAGGCCTATCCCCGTCATTTTTTTTAACTTGGATACCACAATCTTCGAGCGTACGTTTATTTTTTTGCTCATTTGCTGTCCTATTTGCCGCATTTTTTCTGTTTTGACAGCCAGAATCTTTTTTCTCGAAAGTGAATATGTTTTGTTTTTAAGGAAGTTTTGAATTTGATTGAAAACTATTTTTATGATACTTAGTAAAACTATATTAAATGTAAGAATCTCAATTATACAATGTACTTTAACCTTATTTATCTATCTATATATCTATCTATCTATCTATCTATCTATCTATCTATCTATCTATCTATCTATCTATCTATATATATATATATATATATATATGTATATATATATATATATATATATATATATATATATATATATATATATATATATATTTATATATATATATATATATATATATATATATATATATATATATATATTATATATATATATATATATATATATATATATATATATATATATATATGTATATATATATATATATATATATATATATATATATATATATATATATATCTATATATATGTATATATATATATATATATATATATATATATATACATATATATATATATATATATATATATATATATATATATATATATATATATATATATATATATATATATACATATATATAGATATAGATATATATATAAATATATATATATATATATATATATATATATATACATATATATATATATATATATATATATATAATATATATATATATATATATATATATATATATAAATAAATATATATATATATATATATATATATATATATATATATATATATATATATATATATATATATATATATATATATATATATATATATATATATATATATATATAGATAGATAGATAGATAGATAGATAGATAGATAAATAAGGTTAAAGTATATTGTATAATTGAGATTCTTACATTTAATATAGTTTTACTAAGTATCATAAAAATAGTTTTCAATCAAATTCAAAACTTTCTTAAAAACAAAACATGTTCACTTTCAAGAAAAAAGATTCTGGCTGTCAAAACAGAAAAAATGCGGCAAATAGGACAGCAAATGAGCAAAAAAAATAAACGTACGCTCGAAGATTGTGGTATCCAAGTTAAAAAAAATGACGGGGATAGGCCTACAGTTTCCAGATTGATATCTATAAATTCCTCTCAATCACGTCAAGCTTTTGGAATAGTAAGTTCATTTATCTAAACATAACCTTCTTTTTTATATATCTTTTCTATTATACTATTATTATATAAATCAAGATATTTTTGAATATTTTACTTTATTTTCTATAGGATAGCTTTGAAAATGATTCTTGTAAAATTTTGTTGAACTCAGAAGAACCACTTCCTCCTTCGAGTGGCACGTTGGCAATATCGGCAACAAGAGTTGAAAATGAAAACAATATTTTGGTAAAATTTGCTTCGCAAAGATTCTTTAATTATTTTTGTGAATTTGTGAAAATTATATACTTATTAAAATCTTTATTTAAATTATTAGCATAAAGATAAATTGGATGAGGCAATTACTGCAAAGAATCCTGCTTTGTGGGCTGAAAATATGTCCAAAGTAGAACGCGATGCAGTTGTTCTTCAGGGGCCCCCTAAAAATCCTTTATCTTTTCCGAGAGACTCAAACAAGATTAAGGTTCCTGAATCAGTTTTCCACGAAATAACTCGTAATGGGGGAGAAAATAAACAGAGATTGGCTTGTTTGGAGTGCAACTTCAAAATCATTTCTTTGCTTTCCGTGCTCACTTTTCGGAAGCAAACAAGCCTGCGGGGCTGGTAATAATTCACATCTTCTACGTTGGAATGGTGGCATCAATGGAAACTGGAGAAAGCTAGCTGAAAAAGTAAAAGCCCACCAAAACAATCCTCACCATCGAGACAATTACATTAAGTGGAAAACAGCGCTAGAAAGCTTGGGAAATCAATGTGGGATTGATTCAAGTTTAGAAAAATTGATAAGAAATGAGGCAGCCAGGTGGCGTGAAATTTTAAAGTGCATTTTAGATGTAATTCTCTTCTTAGCATCACGCAACCTTAGCTTCAGAGGTATATTTGTAAACATTAATTATTATATTTATGTTTACGTTATAATTTATTTTTACTATAATTAAACAGAAAGTCATGATTTATATGTGATTTAATTAAAATCAATATTTTAGGCTCATCAAAAATGATCGGTGATGACGATAACGGCAACTTTCTTGCAACTCTAGAGCTACTTGCAAAGCACAACAAGACTCTTCAGTTACATCTAGAAGAGGCTTCTCGCTGCCAACAAGAAGGTAAACAAATTATTGCGCATTATTTGGGTTGGAGTTCTCAAAATGAATTTATAAAAGAGTGCGGAAGAATTGTCTACGGTGCCATCATTAAAGAGGCGCATATGGCAATTTACTATTCTATTCTTGTCGACGGAACGCCTGACGTCTCTCATACAGAGCAAATTGCATTTGTTCTCCGCTTTGTCTACTATGGTATTGATAAAAAATGGGTAGTTAAGGAGCGCTTTCTTGGGGTCGAAAGTCTCGATAAAAAGAAAGGTGTGGATATTGCTAAGCTAATTATAGATGTCTTAAATCAAAATGACATTGATCTGAAGAACTGTCGAGGTCAGGGATATGACAACGGTGCTAATATGTCTGGTGTGTACAAAGGAGTACAAGCGATCATTCTTCAGAGAAATCCTCAAGCTTTCTACATGCCATGCAGCACTCATAACCTTAATTTAGCTGGTGTTCATTCACTTGAATCTTCTGTAGAAATGAAGAACTATTTTGGTCGTATTCAGTTACTCTACAATCTTTTTAGTGGAAGCCCTATACGATGGAAAATCTTGACCGAGACGACTGGTTTGTCTCTACATCAAACTTCACAAACCCGATGGAGTGCACGCATTGAGGCTGTGAAGCCTTTGGTTAAGCGACCCAGAGAAATTCTTTTATCTTTGCAGAAACTTTGTGATCTTGATTTAACTGCTGATCTATTGATTGACGTAAAATCTTTAGAGAAATGGATTCAGTCATTTGAGTTTATTATCATGACAACCTTCTGGTTCAAAGCGCTGCAAGCAATAAACTATGTCATCGTGTCATTTCAATCAAAAAACATTACTTTAGATGATGAGATGAAACTTATGAAGATTCTTATTGAGGATCTTACTAGACTTAGATCTTCTTGGCCCGAATTAATTAATGAAGCACATTTAGTTGCCTCCGGTCTAGCTAGTTATGGGTTTCAGTCAAAACTAGTTCAAAAAAGGACAAGAAAGAGGAAAACTTTTACGAAGAAACAAGGAACGAAGTTCATTTCTTAGAAAACGATGAAAAACAGTTTGAGGTGAATGTATTCAACACCGCTCTCGATACATTAATTCAACAAATAAAAGACAGATTTCAAGCTGCAGAAAAGACAACTAACAGTTTTTCTTTTCTATGGCTCTCAGAATCTAATAGTAGGTCGAGTGAGGAAAAAGAAATTGAACAACCTAGCCTGGAGGAAAAATGTAAAACTTTGGCGCAAATGTATGTGAACGATGTAGATGAAGACAAACTTGTTTTAGAGGTCCGTCATCTGGATACTCTAAAGCGTGCCAATCTTTTCGGTCCAAAAGAATATCTCACTTCAATGAAACTATTAAATGGAATTTATCAAAAAGGTCTAGAGTCTATCTTCGAATCAACATGCATTTTATTACGTATTTTTAACACAATTCCCGTTTCCATCGCCGAAGGAGAGCGGTCTTTCAGCAAGCTTGGTCTAGTCAAGACAACACTAAGATCTACAATGAGTCAAGACCGGCTTACCAATCTCTTAGTTATATCTATTGAGCACGATCTAG